AAACAATTATATATATATATATATATATATATATATATATATATATATATATATATATATATATATATATATATATATATATATATATATATATTTTTTTTTTTTTGCTTAATTAGTTTTTACCTGTCAAAATAACAGATTGAATGTTTAGAATAAACATAGAAATCTAAGTTATGGCATCGCCCTTGCTTGTGCTTTCCGTTGAATCTTGTTCCAGCTCCAGCCCTCCTCTGCAGAAACCGCAGGTGGCCCGAGTCACAGGTTTGTTAGACAGCGCAAACTAATGCCAATCAGAAAGCAGGTCAAGATCGGGACTCTGCAGACAGGCCACTGCTATGACACAGTTGGGTGGATTAGGCTGGCTGCTCACAACAACAACATGCCCACGACGGCATCCTCCAAGGAATCTATGGATGAGTTTTATTAGATATGTTTGCAAATTAAAATAAATAAATAAATAGTTTAATGTCTTGACAAATCAATTTATTTGTAAAACTCTCATGATGTCAAGATCATTTGAATTTCAAAAGCATGGAAAATTTACTTTTGCATGTGATGGAAAAAGTATTCCACACATATGAAATCAGCTGATTTTAGTTTTATTGAAAACATGGTCTAACACTTTTAGGTTGTTCCAAATCCTATGCAGAATTGGGAATTATTGCACTGGAGTTAATTATTGTGGAACAAGAATTGGTATGATAAGAATTAATCATTATGTGAGAAAAAAAAAATCAATCTAATGACCTCTGCAAAATTCCAAAACTTGACAGCATGATTGGTATTGCTACTTTTGCTATTGGAACCACTGTTGATTACATGAGAGAACAAATACTATCTACACGAATGTCTGCAAAATGTGACTGGATGCAATTACAGTGCAATGTTTGGCAGCACAGTGACTGTATGCATCTGTTTTATTTAGACATTTTAAGCCAAACTGGAGATAGGCACCAGCACCCCCTGCTGACCCCAGTAAGGGACAAGGGTGTAAAGAAAATGGATGGATGGATGGATTTTAAGCCAAAAGTCTATGATAAATCTTTAAGTACTTTATATCTTCACTTTTATAATTATTGCAACAAATGCCACAAAATGTTATGCTAACATTTCACCCCAATATCGCCCTAATACAGCTGTTTTTCACAGATTGCAGGTAGCAGAATACATTTCATATTGGGTTAATAGCACAGTAAGAACATCAGTTTCCTTGATATTCAAATTAACAGCAAGTAACATTTGTGAATATTTAGATATGACAGATCTTGTTAATTAAACATGTGAAAGTACTAAGTGTAAAAAGGATTAGTCAAACCAAACACATAAACTCTAATGGTGGTGGTTTTCAGCTGACTCCAGGCCACGACCTGCAGCTTGTTTGGTGATGTTATCTTGCTTTCAGGCACGTGATGTGAGCCCAAAGTTAAACAGAGAGTCTTGCAGGCTCATCTTAAACACAACATAAAAAAAAATAAATAAAAAAAAACCAATCTATTTATTTAATCAATGGGGTCCTCTTCTTTGAAAACCCCACAGTGAGCCTGATGATGACAAATATTCAAATACCAGCTGCTTTTAGCATTTGTTAACACAGTTTCCAGCTGTAAACATCAGCAACCTCACGTTGTTACGAAAACTGCGAACTCGCGTTGTAGAGCTGTCCTCCCAAAAATGGTTCTTCTGTGCAGCCCATGTTACTGTACTGTCTGCTCCAGTGCTGTACAACTGCTAAAGGATGCTACCCCACTGAATTTTGAAAGCAAGCTCGCAAATGATGATACAGCAAACGTTAAATGGCTGAAAGCAAACGGGATGACTTCCATGTGCTCACCGCTTTCCTGCTCATTTCCTTTCTTGGCAGTTGCTGCGTTTCCCATCGTAGGAAGACAGGGCGATCCACAGCTGGCTAGGAGCGATGATGGTGGCCGTTAGCTAACAGGCTCCTTCGTTAGCTCGATAACAAATTTCAGCTTGCTCACACTGGCTGGTTACAAACACCATCAACGTGCTCTTCTTATGAACAGAACCTGGTCGTGCTCGGCTGGCCTACTTGATGATGTTTATATGTCGTGTCCTTTTTTGCCGTTCATGTATGCCTCTGCTGGAATGACAACATGATCCAGACTTTTCACCTCTGCCTCCTGTCGTCCTGCGCTGCGTTCACGTCATATGGGAATACCCATGGATGCGCTTGATAGGTGGAATGCTGCCTTCACTGACCATTCGGGGGGAAAAAAACACGCATAGAGATTGAGTGGTACATTTAGTCAGGAGTGTGAAGAATTCAAAGAAATGACTCCATGTGTCTATCCAATACTGTAAGTTGTGACACGGTTCTGTTTTCTGATGTCGGTAATTGTCGTGAAAATTGGAATAGTGTCATAGTATATGTGATGATTATAATATAAAATAATAATATATAATATAATATATATTTTATAAGTTGGTCATTTTTACAAATATAATCTCCAATCAAATAAAAATCCCCCTTTCATTATAAAATATCATTGGTGTATAGTAAAAACTACACAGCGTGCAGTGCCATTTCCATTTTCTTCTACAATCTGCCAATGTATTAGCAGTCACACATTATATTGTGAGTGCCAAGTGAATTTAAGGTATATTTATATAACAGTACCACTGTTACTAAATTACTAATCATTGCTAAAAACAAGTTGGAAAGCACTTATTTTCTCAGTTTCCTGTTTACAATAAGATATCCAAAAAATACGTAAATATGGCTAACTCTGTCCAACTTTCCAGTTTAAGAAGAGGACATATTTAATATAAACTGGCTGATCAAAGTACAGTTGACATTTTAATCTTGTATGTGGTGCTACATCAAATTTATTTTTTGTATTTAACAAAAAAGAAAGATTCAAATAGTCATTAAGCTTGCTGCTAGCATTAGTGTAACATCTTTCTACTGGTTGCAACCCCACTGCACACTGAATTGCTTTATCTTGTGTAGTTTAAATGTGTATGTAAATGTTCCATAGTGTGTGTAAATAATACTTCTGGAATCACAAAGGAACACTTTAGACTGTTGCATGTTTCTTTTTATTATCTTAATCTTTAGTTAAAACAAGTGATTAACTTTTTGAACTGTTAAAGGTTTTAAAAAATTCTGCCACTAATACCTACTAATAATCTTCTATGAACATGTCACGTACCTCATAAAAATATATATTTCTAAATATATATTTAGAAATATATATTTCTATTTGACAAAACAATTTTGTCAAATTGTTCTGTCAAAACAGTTTGACAAAAGATACTCCGCAGATGTAATGAGTAGAGAAACATTATGGGTCGAGATAGAATCTACAATGAGTATTACAGCTGGTTCAGAAATTTAACAGTTCCACACAAGAAACCACAATCTAACTGTAGAAGATTTCAGAAACAACACAAAGGTGAGAGTTAACACACATTTTAATGAGCTAAATGACACCTTGATAAACTCTGAAGGAGACGCGCCCATTAGCGGGACGGGATGTTTTTAGCACCATGGCCAGCGACACCGTTGCTAGGCAGCTGTTTGTGTCAGCAAATGGTGAAGGAGGAGCTGCAGGCCGACTTGGCGTTAAACTGAATCCTTAAGAAGCAGACAAGTCTCTCCTTTTCTTTTAAATAGTTATTTATTTTACTCTAACGTGCCGGTTTAACCCAAGAGGACCACAGTGCGGTAAGTGTCTGATTTTGCCATACTGCGAACGCAAACTTCAGCAGTTCATCCACGAACCCCCCTCTTGCAAAGCGCTATTGGTTCCGCCCGGGGACTCGCTCCAGCACTCACAGCAGACAACAGGACCACAATACACTGATTTTACTCTATAATGTTTCAGTCAACGTCATTTATTAGCTATAACGGTGTTAGGCACCACAAGCACTGAATAGTCCTGGAAACACGGTTGGAAGTAGATGCATTCACCAAGGAGGCCTCAGTGTCTCTAAATGGCAGCTGTGTAGTCGGAGTGGGACGAGGAAAAGAGCTACACTGGAATAAAACATACGGTAACGTTAACTGTTGTTTCATCTGAGCAGACGTTGCTAAGCTAACAGTAGAGCAGCCCGGTGTCATTTATAATTAATTATACGGTGTCCCATTTGGGAGGAAATGCTGCTTAAATGTTGTAGAAGCGTTTGAATTAAAACACCGTAGTTTGTTGTCATTCGCCAACATTAAGCTGTTGTACACTGGAGGTTAACAGGATGCCAGATCTGCTTCCCTGTTTGCTTTTCTTCCACCTGACCTATGCAACTAGCTAGCATCCTGTCGTTAGCAAGCCACTGCTAGCAGCTCATTCATAGCAGTATTACACCTGCTTCGGTTGTGGGAGATTTGATTTGTGAGCTCAAGAAAAGCCCCCATCGTTAAGGCCTTGCATGCCAGATTAAAGAATTTTATGTTGTGCTTGGATTAATAATAATAATAATAATAATAATAATAATAATAATAATAATAATAATAATAATAAAGCAAGACATCTAAAGAAGGGGGGATGGCCTGCAATCCTTTCTGTGATCTGGAAGATACCATATTGACTTCTTGCTGAGACAGGCATGGTACAGTACAGGTCCCCCCACTGGTCTTTGCAGTATAAGCCCACTTAATAAATCTGCCTTTAACTCATAAGTCTTTTTTGCAGCAAGGCAATAAGCGCCCAGAGCCTGGCTAATTACATGAGAGGTCTGGTGGTTGGAGATGCGATTTATTTAGTCCTGCTTGTAGTATAGTTTTCACTCTACACACCACATGCTGGCAGATCACCCTGTGGATGGCCAGCCTTGACAGAGCAGATGGATTATATAAGAGTTTAGCAGGATTTTAGCCTTCTCGCAGCAACACACTGCAGAAAATGTAAAATCTTTTTTTCCCCTTTCATGCATATCTTTGAGTCAGAATACTTATTGATCTCAGATTATTAACAATGCTGTTAACTTAAGGCCATATTTGTATTATCACTGAATAGATTCTAATATTTGAGGTCATTCCTTCATAGTTAATGTTTGTGTTTTTCTATATTTAGGCACCTTACCTTTGTATTTTGTTTAGTTATCTTTCCTTCAGTGTTATCCAGGAAGAAATGGTATTGCTTCTGGTTTGAGACACTTTAAAAACAAATATGTATAACACAATATTCTTGCGTTTATTTACAACAAGAAAAGCAACGATTATTCTTACCTCTGATTAATACAGTGAGTATTACTACACATCATTCTAATATATTTTCTAGGGCTGCACAATTTTAGGAAACATTACATTTCCTAAAATTCTCAGTGTTCAATATATTAATATTGAATACTGAGATGACAGTATTGACTTTGATTAATCCACATTTTTCTCAGTACTTTCTTTATTGTGTCTCATTGGAGTCTCCCTCTGATGAGGCACAACTTTCTGATCTAGGTCATGAAAATCTGTCTTAGATGTGTGAATAAAGGACAGTGAAAACTTACCTCAGTTTTAAGAAATATTACTATGAAGCACAGTGTAAAGTAGTGATACTTGAACCTCTGTGTAACACAAAATATTGCACCAAAGTGCTGCTTTGTGATTGTTTGTAGTGATGTTGAACTGAATTGATATTGCAGTGATGAGATTGAGAAACTGTTTTTATTCTATAAAATGTATTTGTTGTCATTTGATTTGATTAATCAACTTCAGCAAAAATGTACAATTACTCACTAAATAAAATTTTATTTTTTGTGCTTTCTGCACAGTTTATTATACCGTTTTGCTGTTTATAGTACTCTATAAGACGTAACAAGCTGATATTTGTCAGGCTAACTGCTTTTAACATCATCACTGTTACCTTAAAATGAGCGATGAGTCATTTGTCTTGAGTTTGTGTTTTTCACACATGAAATTTTTCAAAATAGCTGAAGTTGTCATTATTCTGCTATATTCTGAGAATGCGTTCTTTTTTCAGTATGCTTCATTCTGATCCGTTTCCTATGCCTTAGTTTTACTTTTACTTCCTGTCTTTTGCTCAAACTATTTACCCTCTCATTGTTAGTCCTCACTTCCATCAGTTTTTACAAACTACCATTAATCCATTTTTCCATCTCATATAGCCATCCTCATGTTCTAAAAAAATGAATATATGAATATTGACTATTGATTGTGGCTAATAGAAATGTTCATCTGATTTGTAAGAAAATGGCTGACTTCTAAATGTTTTTTAAAACTATGGAAAGTTAAAAGCATCACTTCAGACGAAACGGTGCGTGGACGTGATAGTGTATTTCAGTACTCTCTGTGGGTTGATAGCTCCCACACTCGTTCCTCCTCTTAGGCGGAAGGAGCCTCAAAAACAGAGCTGGTTACTGTTTACAGGTAATTTTAGGTCCACAATCAATTCTAAACAACACTCTTTCTACTGCTCATACTTTTATTCATATAATAATTTATTTATTCTTGCATTTATTTATTTATTTATTTATTTATTTATTTATTTATTTATTTATTTATGGTGTAACCTGACATCACTCTCCATGACACTTAATGTATCAAGTATCCAGGTGATGGGGTTTATGTTGCTTCTGTGACTAAAATGTTTTTTTTTTCTATGTATATCTATATAAAGAGTGAGTTTTTTCTTATAGTTACATCTTAAAGATGTTGCATTAATACATCTTAAATTTGTATTAATGCAACATATATTCTATTAATGCAACATATTGCATTTGTATGTTGCATACACAAGCCCTAAAGACTTGGGCATACAGCTGGGCATACAGTTCAGACAGAGAGGATCCTGTATTTATACATCCTGCACATTCAGCGCAAAATGAGGCGGTGCGATGTTTCCTTTAGCCTTTTGATTGTGGGTCTGATGACCGCTTTCAAGATGTAACACAGCAAGGAGATAAAACGAGGCCCCTCGGAGAGGGACAGCTTTTGTTAAGATGAAATGTGTAATAGGTGTGACACAAGTTGTCATGCAGAAAGAGCACGCAGTTACAATTTTTCTTTTGCTTTGATGCAATTTTTACACAACTGTTCAAGATATCTTGCAAAGTCGCTCTTCAGTTAAAAAAAATATATATATATATATTTCATCGGAAGTGCTCTTTTGCTTTTTCCTCATAATTCAATGATGCCCGTGCAAATATATTTAATCTATAGTTTAGTTTTAGTGAATATTTATAATGTTACATTTCTATAGAATAGGACAATAAATAGTAACAATTGGTGATGAATATTTGTCTGAACATTTTATTGCAGCTTCCTTGCAAACAAACCAGCATTTGTTGTTCTTTTAAATACAGAAGAACAGAAAGGGGTGGAGAAAAGCAACACAAAGAGCTGACTCTTCACAAAGAAGCCTTTCTGTGTGCTGTGTGGCAGGAGCACACTGCATGAGCTAAGCATTAATAGCCGCTGCGCGCTTGACTTTGCTATGACGGCCTTTTGGCTCCCTCTCTTGGTCAAATATTTGTATTGCATTAGTGGGTTTCTTTGACACCGCTAAAGCTCTTGTGGGTAAAGGAAAAGAAAAGATGGATAATTTTGCAGTAATGTGGAGTCAGTGAAGTTGAAATTGTGATTTACTTCAATTTTTTTTTCATTTCTTTTTTCAACCAGCTGCATACGAGCTGCATAATGAAACCCAACAAACAGAAAATGCATAACAAGCATCCTTCAGCGTAGTTCACGAGGGTAGAAACGTTAATTAGGACATGTTTTCATAATCTGGTTTATTCTGATTGTAGTTCAACAAATTTGAACTACGATCACTTCTTTTTATTTATTTTTTTTTGTCTATTAAAGTGCCTGAACTTCCAGTTATAATCTTCAGTTATAAAAATATTGTATGTTTCATACATAACTTAAAATTGGGTCTCTGTCTTCTTAAGAAACCCCTTCTCTTTCTGCCTTCATGATTGTAATATTGTGCTCCTCCATTATGCCATTTACAACCGTTCTAGGAGCGTTGAACTGAAAAGTGTTCTGAGCTCAGCAGACTTGCAGTTTTCCAGGTGTTTCCTAATTGCTAGTCTGGAGGAGCGGAGTGGGGGAGTTGCAGGGGAGGGTTACTCTGTCAGATGGAAGCCTGGCTGAAGCCTACAGCTTCAAGGAGAAAGTTTGTGGAAATAGACGGGGCGCTTTGTGAGAGCAAGCGTTTAGGCGCTCCCGAATGGTTGCCATGGGAGATTAAAGGATTCCTCAGACATGCTGGAACGAATCAAAGCAAAGTTCCAGGTGTGTTTTTGATGAGGGACTAATATCATAACATGATTTAAAGCTCAATAAAGTTTTACATAATACCCCCTTTTAAAGGTGAGAATACGAAACAACAAAGTTTTTGGCTGTTTTTCTAATAATCAAAAATAACCATATCAAAATGCCATTATTCAGTGGTAGGTTGGTTTTCTTCTTTTACATGCAACGTTTCTATGTCAGATTTTCAGCTTTGTATAGAGACAGAGGTCTTATGGTAGGCAGCGTTCCCTGCATCCTTCACAGAGAGCTTTTACATTACAACACTGGGAGATGAGGGGGGGTGGGGGGGCGGCAGAGTGTCAGCAGTACAGCCAGCCTCTCTTTATCACTCTGACTCTTTGTTGTTGCTCTCGCCCCCCCCTCTCTCTCTCCGCTGATCTCATTCTAGTCCGGATCAATGTCCTGTGCTTACCACAGGCAGACCAAGAGGCTGACAGTGAGGACTACTGAATGATCAAGCAATACAATTAGATTGTTTTCTCACTCTAATTTGTCTAGAGACTGTTGATAGAATCGATGCAGTTGCTTTGTAAGCTGTCTCGTGAGCACATCGTTTTAAGCTCACTGATCCTGTAGCGAAGGAAAGTGGATGTGTGGACTGTGAACATTGTTTGGTGGAAAACACACTATTTAGTGTACTCCCACCACTAGAGGCTACTGTTGATCTCTTTATGAAATTCGAAGACGCACAATAGGACATTGCATGTTATTTGTGAGTTAAGTTGTTTTATAGTCATTGTTGTATTTCATTTACCACTTCCATGCACATTTCCAGACTATTTTTGCATTCTTTGTTCATGTTTAAAGTCAAAATGTCCTACAGCTCTTATATAGTATCTTACTCATTTGCCATTTGAGCGTCAAAGAGACATTTACCAATTTGTGGACAAGGGCAGGTAGTTATAATGATTAATGGAAAGTTTTTACCACATAGTTTTTGTGTGGTTGGCTTGTGACACATGGAAAAAGAATTGGTCTCTTGGGACTACATGGCTTGTCGTTACTTGCATTGCTTGCCAGTGTGTTGCATCCTTATGAGATAAACAGAAATAATGACTTGGAAAAACGACTCTATAAATTTGCCACCATTACTTGTATGTATAAGTATACTTGAAGTATTTTAGAGTACTGAAATAAAATGCGGTTGACTTTTTTTTTTCTTTATAAAGTCACATTAAAATTTCAGTTTCCAGGAATAAATGTAACTAGCTTGTAACTAAACCGACTGTGATAAGGGATAGAAAGAGTCTGCAGTTTGCACACTTTTATGGTAGTTTACATTATTATGAAGTCAACGCAGAGGCCTTAACCATGCAATAACAATATATTACAATACAAAACTATTCATGCCTCTTACATCTTGTCTTATTACTGGATGAGAAGAAGCAGTGCTGATATATTTGCATTATTGTTTTGGAATATTAAAAGACTTTATAAAACTATTTCTTGTTTTAGAAATTTACAATTATGCACTACTTTGTAATCGTCTGCCACATAGAATCATAGTAAAATGTAATGAGATTTCCCAATACAAAGTAGTGTCCATTGTCATTGGTTGTCATTGGTTGTTCAATGACTAAGTGTAAAAAAATAATAAAATCTAGGGGCATGAATACTTGTAAACAAATGTGCATAGGAAAGCCATAGTAACTTTTTTTGTTGCATAAAAACTAAAAGCATAACTTCAACCATTTTGAAACGTTTTATTTAGAGCTGTATGCCACTTTGTTTGGAGTTTGTTAAATTGGAAAATTATTGAAAAGTAATGTTTGACCAGAGATTGTTTTTGCAGAAAACCTTTTAAGCGGGGTGTGGTATTATGTATTATTTTCAAACTTTGTACCATGTTATAATGTTATTTCCTCTTCAAAAACATATCCGGGTATGTTTTTGATGTGTGTGGCTTTGATTCTGTCATGCATGTTGGAGAAATCCTGCAGCAGCAGCAATTAGGAAACACCTGGTGTTGTCGAAAATGAAGAATCAGAACGTGAAAGTAACAGAGCTAGTTCAACGTGTTGCTATCCTGAGAAGTGCAGTTCTAGAAAAAAAAAACCCCAAAAAAACATGACCTGAAGCTGAAATCCCCCCCCCCCCTCCAAATTCTTGTCACTGAGTCCTTTTGCTGCTCAAATGAGCAATACTGGTAATTCGGACATAGCAAGACAACAATATCAGATTTCATTCCAAAAAGGTTTTGAGGACAACCGCCGAGTTGGGCGGCTGACTGATGCTAATTTCCTTGAGGTAACATCTCAATAAGCCACTGTGAAGATACCATCTGTTTGAATCAAGTGACCTTGTAGCCACACGATTAAACCCAGCAGGCACTCGAAACAATGTGATGCTCAAAACAGCTTGCTTGAGTAGTCCATTAATATTTTCACCATGATTCCATGAAATCTGGATGATTCCAGCCGACACAGTACTGAATAATTGAATTTTCAGTATTGTTTGTGGAATTTCTGAGCTTCATGCCGCTCGTCTTTGATTGGTTAGATCACTCTAAACTTTGCACCTATAAACAATGTTTTTTCATCTCCTTCGCAGGCTCTCTGCCCCCTTGTCCTCCCCTTCCCTCCCTTTCCGCCCTGGCAGTTGTAAATAAGTCCAAGCCGTGCAGACCCCTGAGGAATCCTACTCCCCTCCGTGCCCTTTCCCACCGCTGCTACCCATGCCGAATCCCCTGCCCACTCAGACTCTTCTGCTTATGCCGCTGAAGCAGGCCAAGGAGATCCTCAGATGATCCATCGGGCTGTTCTGAACCACATCGTCCACGCAGCCGGGGACAGGCAAGAGTAACTACTGCGAGTGTGAGAGAGCCCTTGGAGGGGGTGCTGTGAGCACCTTGTGAGGCCCGCCCACCAAGCCTGGCAAAAAGCTTGGTTTACCCCTTCTCTCTTTTAGCCCCTGAGATGCCCTCCCCTCCTAATGATGGAGGTGAGTAAGAGAGGGTCATGCCTCTCAGGACTGACAGGGTCAGTGTATTAGTTGCTCACGCTGAATTTGTGCATGCAGTGTGACATACTTAAGTCTACCTCCACACACACATCCACACACACTGAAACTGTAATAATTTAAGGATTATGATGTATGGAACTACACCACGCAAGATGAATAATCCACTTACATTCTTCCCCCATAAACAAAACTCTCTAAATCCCCTGCAGGAACAAGAAAAACACATTAGAGTTCTGCTTCCCTCCCTGTTCTGGAGCACAAGCTGTGCTTGTATCTAGTTATGCTGTGTGTTATCTCCTCCAGAGGATCAAGGAGCGTCCCCCGTGAATGTCCCATCTGTGGGTCCCTACCGGAGCAGTGGGAAGAGGAAGGCGCACAGCAAAAAGAAGAAGGGAAGAATAACCGCCAATGTCTCTGGCACCAAATACGAAATAGGTATTCTACCTCAAAAGAAGTTCCGACTTCCTTGGTGTCATAATGACTGCACAAGTATGTGAAATTAAAAAAAGAAACATGCCAGTGGGGAATCTAACTACAGGTGCATCTCAATAAATTAGAATGTTATTGAAATGTTAATTTATCTCAGTGATTCAATTCAAAACTTGAAGCTCATATTATGTTAATGATGTGGTTAGCGTTTTGAGTGTACACTTTTTTCTACCACACTTTTCTTCCTTCCACTCAACTTTCCAATTGTTATACTTAGTCATAGCACTTGTTAAACAGCCACCTTCGTCAGCTATGATCTTTTGTGGATGTTGTTCCTCTTCCAAAATGACAGCGATTGTCTGCCAGACATCTCTCTAGCCAGCATAGCATACAATCTCTGTAATAGAAATGTTTTTATTGGTTTTGTGTAATATTCAAATTTTCAGAGAAATACATAATAATACATACAATATATGAAATGACACAAACATTGAAACTAACAGAGGCAATCAACTATCACTCTGTTTAAAGAATTTATCATCTGCAAGCTTTAATGTTCCAATGAAATTCATTAGTAAATTAACTTTTTGATTGTATTTTACATAAATACATAAAAAGAGGATTTGCTGCTCTTCATAGCTTATAGGCATGACAATTGGTTAGATTAATCAGTTCTAACAGGATTATCCAAACTGTTTCCATCACTTCTTTTCACTACATTGGTTCAGAAAACAGGTGAGAAACAAAATTTACCTAAATAGACAAGTGAAAAGCCCTACAAACAAAGTCTCCCTTGAAAATTCTTCTATGTTTTCGTTTGTTTTGTAGAGTAATTTTCTGTTTACTGCAACTGCACTGAACTAAATTTTTATTGAATTTGAGGTTTGTTTTTCCTCATAAGAAAATCTAATGAGTAAGGGAGTTTAAGCCCGGTTCCTTCCCGTGGCTTAGTGAGTTCTGCAAAAACACCACAAATCCGACTCTAATGTTTCCTTAACAATAAAATCTGCCGAGGTGGATATGTTTTTGAGAGAGCTTGCTTTTCCTTGTCTCAAATTACACCCAAATAGTTGCAGTTGAGCTAAACAGCTCGCACGGAGACAGTTCAGCCATATGTGCTTTACATAAATCTTCTGTGGGGCAATTTAGCTTGGCGGTGAGTTGTTGTTCTTTTCAGTTTGAGATTAGCTAAAAGAGCACGGTAAGCACTCCTCTGAAGGTCAATATATTGTGTGGCAGCAGAGTTCTCAGGGGTGAACTACAACCGATGAAAGTAAGGAGTCAGCAGCAGCGAGTAGAAGTCTGAGGCAGTCGGCATCCTGTCGGTAGACGGGAGTCCAGCTGTGAGTCAGTCATCTAACTGTGACGGGACCCTCACAGTGGCCATTCTGAGGGTAGTTCAGGCCTATTTTGAGGGAAAATTAACACCGCAGGCCAGACGGATCGCTTGTTTTTGCTGTTTTTTTTTTGCCCCTCTTTTACCTTTTTTGAGAACCGATAATATCCCAGGTAAAGTTTTATGATGTGAGAAAATAGGATTTGGAATCTGCTTTGGGCCCATTCAGCAGGGAAATGCATGCTGAAGCACTTAAAGAGGCTGTTTTGTGAGAATTGCAAGAAAAGGATCAATTATTGCCCTGCCGTACTAGAGGACCATGCTGCTAACCGTAAGCATATGTCTGCTTTGATGTAAATCCTCGCTGTTCCAGTTAGCAAAACACTGTTAGTCTCTGCTGACATTAACAGATGGATGAAGTCACATTGGAAACATTTATTTCCCCATTCAAGTGCCATCACGCAACATTAGGCAAGCCTTCTCCAGGTTTGTAGACGCTTTCAAGAAATTAATTAATACTTTGTTTTGTTAGGGCATATGAATTTTTCATTAACTGCTGAATAATGAATACTTGTTGGATTAATGTCCAAGTGGGTTGCCACCTATCTCTCATGCTATACGGTTTCCGGTGGGATTTGAATGCATTACAGTCAATTAATTTATCTTTTTCAGGAGAGGCTTTACGATTAGCTGCTGTGCTACCATTTCATGAATAGTAAATATTGCTGTGAGCTTTTTGATCTATGACCTCCCAGATTCATCTCTTTACGAATGCACAACAACATTTAGGCCTAGCAAAATGTTTGAGTGAAATATTGATCTGTGACGCTTGGTTAGGTTCAGGATTTATGGGTCAGAGGGAGAGCATGTTTTATTTATTTATTTATTTATTTTTTTTGCATCTATAACTTTGAGCTGCCTCGCTCTTTAGAACATGGCTGGTCAGTTTTTAAGAGGTATTTGTAAAGATACGGTGACTTGCAGGGTTAAGTATATATAGTGTCCATAACCTTTAAGTTTTTTTTTTTAATCTTTTTTATCCTTTTGTCAATTATCTTCAAACTGTAATTAATTATTTTTCAGATTTTGAAGTATAGACCAATAAAAAGTACTGCAAAGTAGTGTAGGGAAAGCGATGCATGGTTAAGGTGTAGTGTGCCTTTGTAGTCTAACCCAGCTGTAATTGGTACCTTTTGTTACTTTCTCAAGGAATGGCTTTCTCCTTGGCATATATCTATAAAATTCATAGTTGTAGCCTTCACAATTAAATTTTTTTTCTTGACCGATTCTCCCACCTGAGTGGCGCATTTCTGCATTTGCTCCAGAATTACCACCTCTTAGCAGCTAAAATAATTTAGGCCTATGCTAACTTTATTTAGAATTAGATTAAATTTCATTTACATATCCATCAATTTCTGAAAGGGAATTGTTGCACTAGATCTTACTGAAGAGTTTTAGAGTAAAGAGTTGTGTATTGTTCTTCCTTATAGAAAATATGCACTTCTTTGTGTGATCTATTTTGTTGCAATAAACCCGACAAAATTTGAAAAAAGTTGAAGAGATATGAATGCTCTTGCAAGGCACTCAACATGTTTATTGTGGAGATTCTAGCTTCTTTGTGGTATTTTTTATTTTTTTATTTTTATTTTTTTTTAGAATAGATACTAATGTGTTTTTTTTTTATTTTTATGCAGTACGTATAGTCACCAGGGAGATGGACTTCATCAAAGCACGGGATGATGATGAGACTGCCAACCTCATCTGGAATGACTCGGCGGTGCAGCATGAGAAAATTGTTGAGCTCAGGAACTATCAGGTAGACACAACTGGCCAGTTTTTAAAAGTTGAAAATAATGTTTGAAAAGATCATTTGTTTTCTTTGAATATACTTAGATGAGGCCCAGTGCATGTTTATGGATTAAGAGAATATTTGTAGTGCAACGTCCAAGAACAGAATGCTGATTCATTCTCATGAAATGTTTTCAGTGTTGGAATAAAATGTTTTAGATACACTTTTTTTTATAGAGGTTGAGTGTTTAGCTGGCAGAAGAAGAATGAGTAAAAGGGTAGTTTCCAAAAAGAGAAAAATAAATATGTTTCCTAAAAGTTAGATTTAGGAACAGAATGGACGTAAGCAATGGAACAAACACGTTATTTTTTAAAATGAAATATAATTTTATTCTAAAAAAACCCAACTAAAGATTGTTTCAGGTAACAAACTTTCAAACCATTAAAAAAAACAGTTACAGTTGATTATTTTTATAGTAAATAGCTGAAAAAAAAACCCCTTCAATTTGATAACTTGCAGCCCTGTGTAACTCTTCTTATTATGTT